CCATATCAGGCGAGGATCCCCAGTTTTCCCCGGCATCCCCCGGATCCTGCCCAGACCCCCCTGGGGAAGGGGAATCAGGATGCTCTCTTCTTTTGACCCCACTAGAAACCTATCAGTCTTCGCTGTTAGGTAAAAACCATGTTTTCGCCCAACATCCGCCTGTAGGGGGACACGCCCGACCTAACGCTACATGTTCTCTTGTACGTGCAGCTTCTTTCCCGCAGGCACCCCGGCAAGCGGAAACAGTGACGGGAATGTCGAGGGAGGAAGCGCGCTGCTTGCCCGCAGCCAGGGAAGCGTCGGGAGGCGGAGCTCTCCTGGAGCGTGCGCTTCGCGTGCTGCGCCGCTGGCTCTGGCCGGCCACGTTCAGCGCGACACGCAAAGCACGTCCCGGCCCCCACGCGTCAACGCCCCGCGCTCTGTCCAGCCGCCCGCCTCGCGAGGCAGAGCAGCACGCTGTCGCATCGCAGGGCATCGTGGCATGCCGCAGGGGCCGCCGCCTTGACTCCGCCGCAGGGAGCGGCTCCTGGCCGCAGCCCTCGCAGCCGTGCACCTGCGCCTCCTGTCCTGGTGTGGCGCGCGACCCCACAAGCACAGTCAAGACGCTGAAAAGAAGGACCGCCTTGTAAAACAGGGCTAGGATCGGGATAAATCGCTCCAGAGCGTTCCGCAGCGCTCTCAGAGCGTTCCGGAAGGCTCTGGAGCGGCCGCGGCGCCCAATACATCTTCCAAACCCGCCCATTCTCAGAGATTTCGAGTTACCCCGATCCGATTTTGTCCCGATCTTCGCGTCGTTTTACCTTGGGCTCGGGAGGTGCTCGGGGCCTCGGGCCGCTCCTGGGATATGTGTGCCGCGGGGCCTGTCTGCTGTGCCCGGGCCCGCCGTGGCCGGAGGAGCCCTCAGGTTCCTTCTCAATGTGCGTGCCTTCCTGTAGCGCGAGGGGCGCCTCCTGCCACCGGGGCACTTGTTTGCCGCAGCGGCGCGGGTCCGTGCAGGCGGCGGAGCATGCTCACAGCCTGAAGCTCTTGCGCGCGTGTGCCGCGGGGCACAGGCCTGTCCCGCAGGAAGCAGCAGCAGACGGCGTCCGAGGAGGTGAGCGCACTCGTCCCAGGGCAGCGGACGGTCTCGGAGTCCGTGACCTGCCACCGAAACAGCACTCCCGACATCTCGGACCAAGGTTGGCGCCCAGCGCCCCGAGTGCCTGGCCGGCGCGCGCCCGCGCGCCGATCACCGTGCGCGGTCCACTTCTCGCAGAGCGTCTGCTCGCAAACGTCCCGGAAGCACATGTTCGCCTGGACGTCACAGATCGTGGATCCGCCGCGGCGGATCCAGGCCGCCTGCGAGCGGTCGCCCTGCGAGCAGTGGAGAGCGCGATCGCCCAGCCGAGAGGGGCGGGGGGGGGGAGGGGGGCGTGCGCGCGCGCGGGGCGGGGCCCAGGCCCTGGGGGGGTCGCTCGAGAGGGGGTGGTGACGGGGGGCTCGACAAGCCCCTTCCCCGCGAGGCTGCTGTCTTCGGGGTCCTCCCTCGCTTCGGGGGAGCTGTCCCGCAGCGGGGCTGCGGCCGTGCGAGCGCCGTGCAACTCCCGGCTTTTCTCTTTGGGGGGGGTCCCTTCGACGCGCGCTCGCCTGGGCCGCCTCCTCAGGGCTAGTGCGTGCGTGTGTTGGTTCCCGCTGGCGTGGCCGGCCGCGCCAGCACGCTCAGGTCGGGAGTCTTCCGCCTCTGGGTGGCCCCGCCTCCTCCCCCTCTCCGCGGCCGCCTTGTCCGTCCTTTCCCCTCTCCTGCGCGCTGGTCAATCTGCTTCTCGGTGCCCCCGTTTAGCTCTGTCGCTGGTGCAGTCATTCTGCCTCGCCGCCGGCGAAAATAGTGTGTGTGTGTGTGTGTTTGTGTGTGTGTGTGTGTGTGTTTGTGTGTGTGTGTGTGTGTGTGTGTGAACGGTTGGACCGAGGCATGAGATCGAGGTCGGTTCGGAGAGGGTACCCAAATTCGGCGGGGAGCGAGTGGAGAAGTGAGGAGGAGAAGGCCTTCTCAGAAGGCGGCGGGACTTCTCAGACGCCCTCGCGCCTTCAGAAGTTTTCGGTGATTGCGGGGAAGGCTTAGGAAGCTTCTCAGATGGCCGGGGGACTCCCGAGCCTTCTGAGAAGGACCGCCCTTTCTAACTCCCCCCCAGGCTCGCCGCCGGCTTTTGCATCCTGGGGGAGGGTACTTTCGAGTGATTCTATGGTTTCGGGTGTCCTGGCCGGCGGGGGGTGTCGTGTTCTTGAAGGATGTTTTTTTGTTTTAGGTCTGATCGTATCATGGCCGGGGCCACGATACAGTCAACCCGCACAGCGAGGATGAGCAATTGTCCAAGGCTGCCGCTGCATCCTTCCCATTCGGCCCATCCTCGGCCGTTTTCGCTGGTCGCGCCCCGCTCGCAGAGTTCCGACATGGCCTTCCAAGGCTCTAGCATCGTCATCGTGTGTCCCTATTGTACGGGTCGAGTGTACCTCCCCGGGGTTCATTGCCCCCCTCCCTTGTCCCGATACGTCCCCCTGGCCCCGCCCCTCAGGGGAGAAAAAAACACCTGGACCGGACAATTGGCGTTTACTGAGCGGCCCCAGGCGTTTACTAAACAGCCCTGTCCTGTTTGATCCCTTTCTTTGGCTTCGTTTCCTAAGCGGCTTCGCGTGTCGGGGTGGTTATTATCGGGTGGAGCTTCTGCCCTCTATGTCCTTCGACTACACGTGAGAGTGACCCTTCGCCGGAGTGACTTTTGGTGCGGGCCCAATGGGGTCCCCCGATCGCCGGACGCGTTTCGGTAGTAGCGTCTTGCGCGCTTGTGCTTGGCACCCCCACGGCCCCCCGAAAGCCGCGCACCAAAGGTCATTCTTACCCAGGGTCACTCTCGCGTGCGGCCGAATCCCCCCCAGGGGCCGCGCACATTGCTCGGGCCACGCTCTGCGACCCCCCCTCTCGGACGCCCCCCTCTCGGCCGCTCCCCAGACCCCCGACGCCGTTCGGGGGGCGCAGGCAGACGCGCACGGGCGCGCGGGGCTGGCCCAGACATCCTGGCGCTGCCGGCAGTGTTGTGGCGCACGGGGCGCTGCCGCCCGGGCCCGAGCCCGGGGGCCCTCGCAAATCGACCCCGTTGGAGAGATGCCGCAGAAAGGTCTGCGTCGGGCCTGTCCCTCTACAGGAGGAATCTTCAAACAAATTGTCCAAACATAGTCTGGGGACGATCGACCATTGATTGGCAACGTCTTTTGTTTACACATATACATATATAACTGTATATATACAGATATACATAATAATAAGTATTATCATCATTGTTAGTATTCGTGTTCTTAATACCGCTATAACTTTTAGTATTACTATTGGTATTACTAATACTATTACTATTATCCTTATTATTATTATAAGTACTATTTTTAAATAGCAGTATTAGTATTACTATTACTATTAGTATTATTATTATCCTTAGGTGCACACATATATATATAATATGACTAAATACATTCGTCCAACATCCGCCTGTAGGGGGACATGCCCGACCTAATGAATGATATATCAGCCACGCGCAGAGGGGGGTGAAGGGAGAGGGAGGGCTTCTTAGAAGCACCCCTGCTTAGAAGCCGTGGGCCTCACCTATATAGATGTAAGACCGGCGCCCTCTCAGAAGCAGCCTCCTTCTAAGAAGCCCTCCCCATTCCCACCACCCCCTGGTGCGCGCCGCCAAATCGAGAGGTCTCTGGCTGCGCTTTCTCACGGCGTTGGCTGCCCCACTCCATGTCGCGGCGTCGGATATCTCTGCGGCAGCGACGGCCCCCCCCGGCCCGCCGCCACACGGCATCATGCAGCGACTTCTGCGCCGACGCTGCAATTTGCGCGGCACCGGCTTCCTGTTTCGGGGGGGCCGCGCTGCTCCTCCTTCGGGCCCGCGCGCCAGATCCACAGCTCCGCGATCCGTGTTGCCGTGTGCCCAGGTCGCATCTGTGTCGCAACTTCCTTGGGCCAGCTCTTCCTCCTGGGCCGTTTTTTTTCTCGATGGCCCCTGGGGCCCAACGCGTCAGTGCCCCCGGAGCCGGATGGTGGCCCAGATGCGACGGTGGTGCAGAAGTTCGTCGCGTTCTATGGGGGCGTCAAAGTGATGCAGGTTTCGTCCGTTACTTCCGCGCGAGCGGGCGGGCGAAGGCTGTTCCCTGTCCCGACCGCGCCAAGCTGCCCCCCTTTCCCCCTTAGACTCCTAGCGGGCTGGGTCAAGAGCGGTCGGATCAAAAATCCAGGATTTGTGAATCCTGGATTTCTTTCAGCCACATACTCGTGTGTATATATATATATATGTATAGTATATATATGTACACATATATATATGTACACATATCTGCATGTATGCATGTATGTATGCATGCATACATGCATGCACGCACGCACGCATGTATGCATGCATGTGTGCGTGTATGCATGTATGCCTGTATGTGTGCATGTATGTATGTATGTATGCATGCATGCATGTATGTATGTACGTATGTATGTATGTATGTATGTATGTATGTATGTATGTATGTATGTATGTATGTATGCATGCATGCATGCATGCATGCATGCATGCATGCATGCATGCATGCATGCATGCATGTATGTATGTATGCATGCATGCATGCATGCATGCATGCATGCAGGCAGGCAGGCAGGCAGGCAGGCAGGCAGGCAGGCAGGCAGGCATGCAGGCAGGCAGGCAGGCAGGCAGGCAGGCAGGTAGGTAGGTAGGTAGGTATGTGTGTATATATATATATATATATAGTAATCGGGATAGCTCAAACTCCCGACCTGAAAACACACGGTTTGAGAAATCTCACCGGGCGGGATTTTGCCCTGCCAAAGCAAGAGGGTGAAGTTCAAATGCAGGACGACAGTTTTTGCAGCGCTGACGTGTACCCCCCCGTCGTGATCTCCGCCCGCTCGCGGCCAGGAGGCCTGGGGGCAGGGGCGCGCCCCCGGCCCGCGGGGGGGGGGGCCGATGTGGGACTTCGACGAGCTGGACGCCATGGAGACCCAGAGCGCCACCCCCGCCGAGGCAGGGCCGCCCACGATCCCACTGCGATGCGCTCCGATGCGCTGGCGGGGGCCGCGATTCCGAGTCGATCCGCTCCGGTTCCGTATGGTTTTCTTCACCGGCATCGGCCAGGGCCGGCCAGAGCCAGGCGCAACGGTCCGATGCAAACGCCAGCCATCCCCTGTGCCCCCATCAGGCGAGCGGCGCAAGAGAAGAGAGGTCGTCTGCACCGACTTTGGCGCGCAAGCCGCCCGCGCAAGGTCGCGCGTGAGCGCCCTCGTCTCTGATATAGCGTGCCGCGCCGACGGCCCGCGTGAGCCGCCGACGACTCGCTGGCGAGCCGAACCGTTTCCGATTTCGCGATTCGATCCGGCTCAGGCGTGACGGGCTCCCCCCCGAGAGCAGAGCAGCGCCTCGGAGCTCGCCCTTCGACCGCCGCCCTCCTCACTCGCAAGCCTGGGCACAGAGGCAGGCGGCCGTGCGCCCCGCCGCGCCTCCCCGTCGGGGCGCCGTGGCGGGGGCCGTCTGCCTCTCCCCGGGAGGGCTGCGGGAGGACAGCGACGAGGGCCCTCTTCAGTCCTTGGTCAGCAGGCGCGTTCCACTACTCGCAAAGTGCCTGCTCGCAAACGTCCGAACAAAACAATGTGATGCTCTTATGCAGTGTATCGTAAGTCCCCCGCGGCGGATCCAGGCCGTTTGCAAGCAGCTACTCTGCGAGTGGTGGAATGCGCTTGCCCACTTGGGCTTCGCGGAAGAGTGGCCCTTCGCCAGAGTGAGCTCTGGTGCGGGCTCACAGGGGGGACCCCCCCGGGGGGCACTGGCCTGCGCGATCGGACTGGGGATTTGCACTGCCCGTGGCCCCCTGAAGCCGCGCACCAGAGGTCATTCTCGCCAGGGGCCACTCTTGCGTGCAGTCGAAGTCTGGCGGCCTCAGTATCGCTTGACTCATCCCCAGCCCCATGCCGCTCCCCACCATCCTGCCGCCCCAGTTGGGGAGTCATTCTTGCCACAGCCCGAGGGAGAACGGCCCAACTAACCCCATCTATGGGAGGGGAACTCGGCCAGTGGGGCCCAGGCCACGCCAGTGGGGATCAGGATCGGTGAAACGATGCTCGCGGCCCCTCCTCCTCCTCCTCCTCCTCCTCCTCCTCCTCCTCCTCCTCCTCCTCCTCCTCCCAGCCGTCAGGCCGAGGCAATTTTCAAATGCCTCGCCACCGCGGATAAGCGGTGCTGCCTGGGCTCCGTGTGGCACCGCCTGAATGCGGTGTGGGTCCGATGATGTCAGATCCTTATCCCGCCCGCGTTCCGGGTGCGATAAGGATAGGGCGGAGGGCGGCACCTCCCGCTGGGAGGTTCGTGGTCGTTCGTTGTCGTCCTTCGTGTCTCGTTTCGTCGTCATGTCCGTCGCCCTTTTCCTTTTTGGGAGTTGCGGCACGGCCCTGGATTAGGTTCCAGGGTGGACGTTGTTTGCGCTCCTGGGCCGGAGAGTGGCCCCCTCCCCCTCCCCCTCCCTGCTGCCGCTGCTGTTGCCGTTGCAGCTGTCAGGCCAGGGCTTTTAGTGCCCTGCCACCTCGGCCAAGAGGTGCGGCCTGGGCGCGGGAAGACCCCAGTGGCACCTCCTGGTCTGAGGTGTACCGCCGTTTGACGACCACGGAGGCGGTGCCCGCGGTTTTCCGCCTGTAACCTCTTGGTTGCAGTGCTCTTTGCCGCGGGCACACTGTTGCCGAGCTTGTGAGGGTGCGGGCGCTGGGCAACGCTCCGTGTATTGTCCCTTGGGCGCCGATCCCGAACCCCCGTGCGCCATTTTGGCGCGGGGTGTAGGGCGGTCCTTGGTTTGTTTTTTTCCTTGATTTCCTCCCTAAGGCACAGCGTTTCTGGCGCTATTGGGAGTTAGTCAAGGAAAGGAGGCCGGAGGTCAGGTCCCAGCTTGTGTCCGTGATCCCCTCTTTTTGCGCGTGTGCCCTTGGTGTTGGCCGTTGGCCACTTTGGCCGTTGGCCAGGGCGCGTTGGCCCGCGCTTTGCTGAGCGCCACGGTTTTGTTCTGCCTTTTGGGTCCTCCTCCTCCCTCCTCCTCCTCCTCCTCCTCCTCCTCCTCCTCCTCCTCCCCCTCCTCCTCCTCCTCCCTTCCTCCTCCTCCTCCTCCTCCTCCTCCTCCTCCTCCTCCTCCTTCTCCTTCTCCTTCCCCCCCGTGGAGAGAGCCCTGCGAGGCGGCGACCGCCGAGGATCCCGCCGCCGCCGCCGTCTCCGGAGCCGCGGCGCCGGGCCCGGCCGGCGGGGAGGGCGCGGCTGGCCAGAGCGCTGCAGCCGCCGCCCGCGGCGGGCCCCGTCGCGCGCTGGTGACGGGCGCGAGCGGGCTGCTGGGCCGCCAGGTGGCGCCGCGGTTGGCGGCTTCTGGGGCCCCGAGAGGCCTTCCTCAGAGGAGGAGGAGGAGGTACCCATGCCTCCACCCTTCGCCCGTTTTCCCCCGTTTGGGCCTCCTGGGAAGCCCTCGTCGCCACCGTTGGATTCGCCTCGAAGTTCTGGTCAGAACGCACCCCGGGAGAGGTCCGGGGAGTAGCGGTATCGGTACCTTTTGGTTTCCCCACTTCCGCCGCTCTCGGGCTTCGGGGGGTCCCGGGTCGGAGGCTTTCCATTCCAGCGGGCCCCGGGGCCATCGGGACTCATGGTGTTCCAACCCATACTGTAGCCTGCCAGACAAGAATTTCGAGCACCACGACAGTACCGAAGCTTGAGGTTTTCACGTGTCGGGCCCTGGGAGGCGATACTCGCTCGACACTGTTTCGACACTTTTCTGGGCGCTCGAGATTATTCCTGGGATGTGGTCCTTCAGTAAGATGGGACCAACATGCATCAAGACCGTGCCGAGGGCGAAGGTCGCAGGCCATGTGTGTGTGTGTCTCCCCGGGCCCCCTGTATACATGCCGACGCAGAATGACCCCTGGGATACGCCCCCCAGGAGGAGGGCCACTCGCACGCACCCCCTACGGAGGATGGACGCCCCCGTCCTCGTCGCCCGTCGCCGCCCGCCGTCGCCGCTCCTCGCCGCCGCCCGTCGCCGCCGGCAGGTGCCGCCCACCATGTGTCGGTGCGGCCGGTTCGTGGCCGCCGGTCGCCGCCGTGGGCGGCGGTTTCGCCCTGCGCCGCACTGCTGCGCACGCTGCCGTGCACCCGGTCGCCGCGCGTCACCGCCACGAGTGCGGCAAGCGCATCGCACGTCACTGCGCTGCACGTGCGTTGCGTTGCTCCTTGCGTTGCCCTCTGCGTCGCTGTGCGCTGCAGCCTCCTCGCTTTGCATGGTCATCGCGCTGCACTCACATTGCATCAGCATTGCATCAGCATTGCAGCAGCATTGCAGCAGCATTGCATCAGCATTGCATCAGCATTGCATCAGTATTGCATCAGCATTGCATCAACATCGCATCAGCATCGCATCAGCATTGCTTTACAATGCAGGCGCATTAGAACCGCACTCTATTCCTTCGCATTGCGTTGCGTTGCTGTGGACTCCTTTGCATTGCTTCGAGCTGGTTTGCATTGCTTTGCGTTGCTTGGCGTAGCTTGGCATTGCTTTGCATCGTATTACACTGTTTTGCATTGTGCTGCATTGCTTTGCGTTGTCTTGCTTTTCATTGCTTTGCATTGCATTGCCTTGCGTTGCTTAGTATTGCATTGTATTGGTTTGCCCCACATTGCTTTGCATTGCTTTGCATTGCTTTGCATTGTTTTGCATTGTTTCGCAGTGCCCTGCATTTGTTTGCATTGCTTTGCATTGCGTTTCTTTGTTTTGCATTGTTTCGCAGTGCCCTGCATTTATTTGCATCGCTTTGCATCGCCTTCTCTGGCTTTGCATTGCTTGGCCTTGCGTGGCTTTGTTTTGCTTCGCGCAGCACATATATATGTATATATTGCACCATACGGGGTGCGCCACCTAGAGTGTACTACATCGATTGCGCCACCCAGATTGCAATGCACAGAGTGCAAGAAGTCGCTGTCCGGGATCCACGCTGGCGAACCTGCGGGGCCCCTGGGCTGCCAACAGCACGGCCCGGGGTGACACGCTGGTCCGATGGGAAGCGGCCGCGAGGTCGGGGGGCCGTGCCTCGCAGAGCACGAGACGCCGAATGCCTGGGACGGCTGGTGCTCCCTGGTCCTTGCCCGTCGGCATCCCGTGGGAAGGCCTCGGGGTCCCCAGACCCCCGACGTCTTGTGGCGCCGACCCCCAGAGGTCTCGGACCCTTCCCCGGGACCGAGTTCTCATCCCGGATCGTTGTTTGACGGTCCCGAGAGCCTGTGCCGGGACCGATGTTTCATCCTGGATCGTTTTCTGTCGGTCCCGAGAGCCTGTAAGGGCCCCCTGGGGCCGAAAACATTTGAAACATTCCGTCGTGATTGATGGCTCGAGGGGGCTTGGATCCAGGACTCTATTCCCTCGGGGCCCGTCTGGCTTCACGCTGGCAGGTGCTGCTCCGCTTCGAGCGGCGCGGCTGGACCGTCCGCGGGCTGGCCTTCAACCGCTGCAGCGGCGGCCTGGTCAGGTGCAACATTCTCGAGAGGGGCGAGCTGGAGGCCCAGTTCCGGGACTTCGGGCCCTCCGTGGTGATCCATTGCGCGGCCGAGAGGAGCTCGGCCACGCGCGCAAAGCGGGCAGGGGGAGGGGGTAAGGCTTCTGGGAAGCACCCCTGCCTCTTGGGTGGCCCCCTTCTGAGAGGCGCTCCCCCCTCCCCCCCTACAGTGGGGGCCCATGCCAAGAAACACCCTGCTTGCCTCCAGGGTGCCCTGGGTCTCTTGGGTTTCGATGGCTTCGCTGTGGAAGGCGTGACGCTCGCACACCAGAAATCAGGGGACGTCCTGGGGTCTGCGGGTTGGGCTTCTTGTGTCAGAAGCCGGGCGAAGGCTGGCAAACCCGCACGTGGCTGCTAAAACAGAGCTCCGGTAACTTGCTTTTTTCCTTCCGGGAAGCAGCCCCTTTATCATGTAGTGCGCTGAGCTTGATTCCGGGAATCTGTCTTCCTCTTCCGGGAAGACCATCCTAGCAGCCACGGATTTGCCAGCCCTCGCCCAGCTTCCAGTTGTGGGAGATTTCTTGTGGACTGGCCTCCATAGAACAGGGCTAGGATCGGGATAAATCGCTCCAGAGCGTTCCAGAGCGCTCTCAGAGCGGTCCGGAACGCTCTGGAGCGGCCGCGGCGCCCAACACATCCTCCAAACCCGCCGATTCTCAGAGATCTCGAGTTATCCCGATCCGATTTTGTCCCGATCTTCGCGTCGTTTTACTCCGCTGTATGCCCCCTGGTGCGCGCCGCCGCGGCGGGTCGGGCGAGGGAGTGGGAGCCCCGGGCGGGGCTCCTGCACGACCATGGGCGCGAGGCGCGCCGAGAGCGCCCCTGAACGCTCTCACGGAGCGCCCGAGGCCTCCTGCCCCTACTCTACCCCCTCATCCTTCCCCCCTCCTCCTCCTCCTCCTCCTCCTCCTCCTCCTCCTCCTCCTCCTCCTCCTTCTCGTCCTCCTCCCGCTCCCCCTCCTCGTCCTCCTCCCCCTCCTCCTTCCCCTCCTCCTCCTCTTCCTCCTCCGCCCCTTCCTCCTCCGCCCCCCCCCATCCTCCACCTCCTCCTCTTCCTCCTCCGCCTCCTTCTCCCCCCTTCCTCCTCCTCCTCCTGCTCCTCCTCCTCCTCCTCCTCGGAGCCGCTGGGCGTCCGAGGTCGCCGAGCTATCCTTGTCACCGAGCGCGTGCCACGGCTCGCAGGGTGCCCACTCGCAAGCGTTCGAAAAGCACACATGTCTGCTCTGACGCAATTCATCGTAGATCCCCCGCGGGGGGGATCCGGGCCATTTGCGATTAGTTCCTTTGCGAGTAGCGGAACGCGCTCGTCTACCTGAAGTCGGGCGTGTCCCTCTACAGGAGGAGTATTCAAAAGTAGTCAAAAATAGTCAGGGGACGACTTTTTGACAAGGTTTGACCATTTGGGGTGCATTGTTTGAGCATTATTTATCTTGTCGTCCAAAATCCGCCTGCAAGGGGACATGCCCGACTCAAAGCTATCCTGGTCCTGGTCCTTCAGGCGATCGCAAACATGGACCCAGGGGGCGTGGATCAGCGACGGGCCCCGTTTCCGTCGGGCATCGCGGATCTCCGCCGCCGAAGAAGGCGGCGCCGGCCGCACTTTGGAGAGGCATACCTCCCCCGATCCATGGATTTGGCGACCGCGCGCCAGATCCATGGATCGCTAATCTCAAGTCGGGCCTGTCCCTTTACAGGAGGAGTATTCACAGACAGTAAAAAAATAGTATGGGGACGATGTTTTGAACAATTGTGACCATGTTGGGTGCACTTTTACGCCTGCAAGGAGACGTGCCCGACTTAAAAAAGCTATCCTGGTCCCGCTCTGTCCTGGTCCAGGCTCCGTCTGCGGGGACTTGGGCCAAGGGGGGTGCGCAGCCGCCTGCCTGGCGCCCGGGCTCTGCCCCGGGCGCCGGCGCCTCCTTCTCGACACCGCGGGCGCCTCCAGCGCCGGGAGGCGCAGGGAAAGCCACGCGCGCGAGCGGACTCGCGAGCTTCCCATCACCATACAGCACATGGGCACCTCAAGCATGAGGAGCTGTCCTGCCGACGGATTCGCCACGACATAGCTTCGTGTCTCCCGATGGGCTCAAGGGGCCCTTGGGCACCTTACGAAACTCCGAGTCGACGAAGGATGCGTCCCTAGATTTCTTACAGCGAGATTGCTGATCGTGTGGGTCTGCTGTATACCCCCCCTCTTCTCCGACCCGAAAGCCCTGCAGGAGACCTGGCAGTCTCGAGACGGATCCGGAGTACGCCGCCAGGATCAACGCGGAGGCGACCCGGTGCATCGGCGAGCTCTGCAGCGAGCACGACGCGTGGCTGGTCTTCCTGTCCACCAACTACGTGTTCGACGGCAGGGGGGCCCCGTACGCGGAGGACGCGGTGCCGAACCCGCTGAGCGTGTACGGCAAGACCGAAGGAGAACCCTTTCTGCACAGGCATGAGCTTTCGAAGCTCCACGCGGATGTCTTGGAGCTGCGTCCACTCATGAACCCTAATTGTCTGGCGGGTCCACTCTGCTCTGGGGTATCGGACACCCCCGCAGGGGTTCACTTGGCTGCAAACATCCTTCGAATTCTGAACCCCAGCCAGCGTGTCAGAAAGCCGACCTGCAGGGGTAATTAGGGTAGTCGTAGGGTCCACACGTGGTTGCGCACGGGATCGGCGCTGGACCCCCCTCCATCCCCTGGCGCGCGGAGTGCCCCAGGGAGTGGGAGGTCCAGCGCAGATGCAGAAGAAGTCTGCTTGGAGCTCCGAAAGTTTGCGTGCGTGCACCGCTTTCTCCTTCGGCGAGAGCAAGCTCGCCGGCGAGCGGGCGGCGGCGGCAGCGTGCCCCGGGGCGGCGGTGGTGCGCGTGCCCCTGCTCTACGGGCCGCTGGAGAGCCCCGAGGAGACGTCGGTGTCGGCCCTGCTGGGGCCCCTGCTGGAGCTCTCCGGGGCGGCCGAGCCGACGCCGAAGGCGTTCGACAACTGGCAGCAGCGCTACCCGACCTCCACGGAGGACCTGGCGGCGGTGCTGGAGTCCTTCTGCGACGAGGCCGCGGCCGCGGGGCCCGAGAGGCACGGCGACTTTGCCGGCATCTTCCACTGGCAGGCGAACGAGATGCAGACCAGGTACACCATGGCCCTCGCCGTGGCGGAGATCGCCGGCGTCGACCAGGCGCTCGTGGCCAAGTCGGACGAGGCACCGAGCCAGCTGTCGGCCCCCCGGCCGCAGTTCGAGGAGATGCGGTGCACGCGGCTGGAGAGGCTCATCGGCGCAGACCGGGAGCCTGGCATGTTCCGTTCGGACTTTCGCCAGGGCCTGCGCCAGCACCTGGAGCCGTTCCTCCCGAAGGCGAGGGTGCCAGTCGCGGAGGAGGTGCCCGCAGCAGCGGAGGCGCCGACAGCGCAACTGGCGCCAGCCGCGTCAGCCGAGGCAGATGCGCCAGCCACCGCCAAAGCGCCCGCTGCGGCAGCAGATGCGCCCGCCTCAGTGGAGGCTCCAGCCACGGCAGAACCACTGGCAGTGGCCGAGGCCCCCGCCGCGGCAGAGGCGGCCGCATCAGAGGCAATGGCGGAGGCGTCTGCCGCAGTGGGGGCGCCAGCCTCGGAGGTGCCAGCCGCGGCGGAGGGGCACTCTGCCGGGGCCGCTGCGGGGATGCCCGCCGCAGTGGGGGCATCCGCCGTGGTGGAGGCACCCGTCGCTGTGCAGGCGCCCCGCGTGGCGCCGGAGGCCCCGGTGGCAGCAGACTCGTCGGCCACGGCAGAAGCGCCCGCAGCAGCGGAGCCGCCCGCCGCGACGGAGGCGCCAGTCGCGAGGGAGGTCGTGCTCGCAGTGGAGGCGCAGGCGGGAGTTGCGGAGGCTCCCGCCGCGAGAGACGCGGTCGGCGCGGCGCTGTCCACCGCGCAGGCGCGTGCTGCAGCGGAGGCGCCGGCCGCGGCGGCGGAGGCGCTGGCTGCGGAGGCCGCAGGGGAAGTGCTGGAGGCCAGGGCGCAGGCAACCACCGCGGCGCAAGCCACTGGCGCTGCCGAGGGCCCCCGAGCGGGGCCTGCGTTGCTGAAGCCGGAGAAGGATGGCCTGCTGGAGAAGTTCTCCCTGCAGATCCGAGCGGAGCGCTCCCGCGTGCACCTCAAGCTGGAGGCCGAGGACTTCCTCAAGGGCATGCTCGGGCCGTGCGATGACCTGGAAGAGCTGCTGGAGAGCCTGGAGAGCCTGAAGGCTCCCCTGGAGGCGGTGCAGGCGGCGGCCCGCGGGGCCCGCGGCGGCGGCGGCGGCGCGCCCGCCGCGGGGGCGCCGGCGGCGGAGCCGCAGCCGGAGGCGGTGCCGCAGGGCCTCCGTGATCCGCCGGAGCAGTCGAGCAATCCTTGGGGCGACATGACGGAGGACAAGGCGTACGTGGACGAGGATGGCGGCGAGCCCAGGGGGGAAGTGAGAGTCAAGCAGTGGCGAAGCGTCCCGGCGTGCCTATAATTAGCCCTACCGAGCAATGTTCTAAGAACCGCTTGTGGTTTAAACGATCTGTTCTCATAACGTTTCTGGCTGGGACTGTCTAGTTTTAACGTATCAGGCTTACGTTCTAGGAACACTGTTTTTGATCTTAGAACGTTTTTGGGTTCTAAGAACATGTCGTGGTAGGACAATAGGAATGCCGGGACGGTCGGTCCTTGCTCAAGAGAGGGGGCAGGACTTCTCGGAAGCCCTCGCGCCTCCCGAGAGCCCCTGCAAGCCCGAAGCCACGGGCGGCTTCTCGGGAGGTGCGAGGGCTTCCGAGGAGCCCCGCCGCCTTCTGAGGCAGCCTGCCCCCTCTCACTCCCCATCCGGGCTCGCCGCCAAGAGGAGGACCGGCTGCTGCAGAAGGTCTCCGGTGGCGGCAGTCAGCCGTGGGCAAAGGCCGCCGCCTGGGACAGCTGGCAGGCCAGCGGCTCGAGCTGGTGGGACCAAGGCGACCATTCAGTAGCGGGCCTGTCCCTCCTACAGGCGGAAAGCTCCAGAAATGGGAGAAACATAGTCTGGATACTTATATATAATTATATATACATATACATACATATATATACACAAGACTGCAGTGGCGCTTCGCGCCATGCACCTTGGTCCTTGAAGTTTGGTCTGCAGGCGGAATAGCAGGAAGGTCAAGCCGACAATTTAGCGATAACTCCTTGTTGCCTTTTCTGGCATCGCCGCTATGAGAATGAGATTCGTTATCCTTCCTCCATGCTTCTTTTTCCTCATGTTCGCCATACCCTGCGCATTCTCCCTATCCTCCTCAGCTCTTTTTTTTGCGGAGGCTCCTCCTGGGAGAGCCTCTGGGGGCCTAACAAAAATTGTGTCAGGCTTTCTTAAGACCTTCTGGAGGCCTCCTGGGCGTATTCTGGGGGCCTCTGGGGGCTTCCTCGGGCCACCCTGCCTCCAACCACGGTCTCGCTGAAATGGAATGCTTCGGAGGGTGTCTTGGGGCCATCTTGGGCCGCCATGGGGCTCTCTGAGGGCCATCTTGGACCCGTGTTGTGCCGTTTTGGGGCTCTCTTGGACTGCCTGGAAGCCCTTTCGGATGGTTGTGGGGCGATTTGGGAGCCTCCCAGGTTGCTTCGGACGCCCAGAAGACCGCCGTCTTGGAGCGTCGGGAAGCCGAAAAGAGGAGAACCCCAAAATTCACCAAAAACTATTAGAACATCTGTGACTTTTGCCTCTTGGGAGTGCTCTTGGAGGCCTCTTTGGGGCCGTCCTGGAGGCCTCTTGGGCCATCTTGAGGTCACGTTGGTCACTCTTGGAGCGCTCTTGCGCTGTCATGGGGGTCTCTGAGACGTCTCCGATGACCCCCCTGATCGCCCTAGGTGTGCTGGGAAGGCTTGGCAAAACGCTCTGCGAGGCCAGGGGGGCCGCTTCGAGGCCCGTCTGGAGGGTCCAAAAGCCCCAGATCCCGGGAGCCCCCGCCCGGGCTTATAAAAATATAGGAAGAGGAATATAGGGCGTTTTGCCAAGTCTTCCCAGCACACCTAGGGCGATCAGGGGGGTCATCGGAGACGTCTCAGAGACCCCCATGACAGCGCAAGAGCGCTCCAAGAGTGACCAACGTGACCTCAAGATGGCCCAAGAGGCCTCCAGGACGGCCCCAAAGAGGCCTCCAAGAGCACTCCCAAGAGGCAAAAGTCACAGATGTTCTAATAGTTTTTGGTGAATTTTGGGGTTCTCCTCTTTTCGGCTTCCCGACGCTCCAAGACGGCGGTCTTCTGGGCGTCCGAAGCAACCTGGGAGGCTCCAAAATCGCCCCACAACCATCCGAAAGGGCTTCCAGGCAGTCCAAGAGAGCCCCAAAACGGCACAACACGGGTCCAAGATGGCCCTCAGAGAGCCCCATGGCGGCCCAAGATGGCCCCAAGACACCCTCCGAAGCATCCCAAGTCGTGACCCGGTCGTTCAGGGAGACCGTGGTTGGAGGCAGGGTGGCCCGAGGAAGCCCCCAGAGGCCCCCAGAATACGCCCAGGAGGCCTCCAGAAGGTCTTAAGAAAGCCTGACACAATTTTTTTTAGGCCCCCAGAGGCTCTCCCAGGAGGAGCCTCCGCAAAAAAAGAGCTGAGGAGGATAGAGAGAATGCGCAGGGTATGGCGAACATGAGGAAAAAGAAGCATGGAGGAAGGATAACGAATCTCATTCTCATAGCGGCGATGCCGGAAAAGGCAACAAGGAGTAATTGCTAAATTGCCGGCTTGACCTTCCTGCTATTCCGCCTGCAGACCAAACTTCAAGGACCGAGGTGCATGGCGCGAACGCGAAGCGCCACTGCAGTCTTGTACACACACACATATGTATATATATATATATATGTATTTCTTTGTTTGGCTCATTTTTCCTTGTTCCTCGAAGATCGGCCTGTAGGGGGACAGGCATGACCTCAGGCGACCACGGGCGGTCTGGCCAGTGGCAGCAGCCCGCCTCGCGCCACGCCTGGGCCGCCTCCGCGCCGCCGGGCGCCGGGGGCGGCGGCCCGGCCCCGCGCGGCGGCGGCGGCGGCGCCGCGGCGGCGCGGCCCGCGGGGCCCGGCGACGCGGGTGGCCCGTGGGGAGATATGTCCGGCGAGGACCGCGGCGGAGCACGGCGGGTCCTGGGGGTGGCCTGGCCCCCCATAGGTCAGAGCCCCGAATCATCAGGGGTAACTCGGGTCAGGGTTAACTCGGGTCAGGGTTTCGGGAATCCAAACCCGAGTTACCCCGGACCCGAGTTACCCCGGATAACTCGGGCGTCCAGAGCCCCGAATCATCAGGGGTAACTCGGGTCAGGGCTAACCCGGGTTCTTTTTCCGGGTATCCAAATTCGAGTTACCCCGGACCCGAGTTACCCCGGATAACTCGGGCGCCCAAATAGGGGAACAAAAAGTGGCATGCACACATAAAAACTCGGAGGTCCGAGCGGATTTCTCCGGGGCGGCGCGCGGAGCTCGCCATGGGGGCCCCAGCGCCGATGCGAGAACTCCGCGCGGACCTCTGAGTTTTTATGTTTCTGCCACTTTTTGTTCCCCCAACCCAGTAAAGCGACGCGAAGATCGGGACAAAATCGGATCGGGATAACTCGAAATCTCTGAGAATCGTCGGGTTTGGAGGATGTATTGGGCGCCGCGGCCGCTCCAGAGCGTTCCGGAACGCTCTGAGAGCGCTCCGGAACGCTCTGGAGCGATTTATCCCGATCCTAGCCCTGTTTTACCTCCGAGTTTTTATGTTTATGCCACTTTTTGTTCCCCTAACCCAGGCCCCCTCGGGCAATGACAAAATCAGGGCGGTGGGCTTTTCGCTGCTCCGGGTGGCCAGGGGCGCCTCAGCCGGCCCTCGGGGCCGTCGCGAAACGACGCAGGACGAAAAACCGGTCCTCGGGAAGGGGTCCAGACCTCGGGGATGTCCAGCGAGGATCGCGGTGGAGCAAGGCGACCATTAAGTCGGGCCTGTCCCTCTACAGGAGGAATAATCAAAAATTGTCAAAAGATACTCTGGGGACGATGTTTGGAGTGCTTTTTGGAACACCTGGGGGCATTTTTTTGCGTATCATTAATTTTTTGCCCAACATCCGCCTGTTGGGGAACATGCCCGACCTAAGGCGAGTCCTCAGGGTGGCCTGGCCATCCAGCGTCAGCCACGCGCAGAGGGGGACGGGGGGAGAAGGGAGGGCTTCTCAGAATCACCCCTCCTTCTCAGTAGGCGCGGTCCTTGTCTATCTATGGATGTAAGGCTGGCGCCTTCTAAGAAGCAGCCTCCTCCTAAGGAGCCCTCCCCCCTCCCTCCAAAGCAAGCGAGTCCTGAGGGTGGCCTGGCCATTCAGCGTTTGGGCTCGCGGCTTTTGTGCCCGCGTGGCCTTTTTCTGGGCCTCCCCGTCGCCATGGCCGGATTCGCTTTCAGATTCTAGTTGGATTCGCCCGAGGGCTCGGGATTGAGCCCGAAGGCTCGGGCGAAATCTGTCATGAAAGAGAGCGGTCCTGAGGCAAACGTGTCCTAAGGTTTTTCGCCGTTTTTGGGATCCCGGGACCCTCCGTGGGCCCCGGGAGCGTCACAAGACGACTCAGGATGAGGAGCTGGTCTCGGGGGCAAGCCTCGGGGTGTACAGTCAACCCGCATAGTCAGGATGAGCAACTTTCCAAGGTTACCATTGCATCCTTCCCCTTCGGCCCCGTCCTCGGCCGCTTTCGCTGGCCGCGCCCCGCTCGCAAAGTGTCGGCATGGCCCTCCAAGGCTCTGGCATCCTTCTCGGGCGTCCTCGTTACACGGGCTGACCGCAGGACCCTTCTCCTCTTCCAGGGCCCCTTCCCTGCGCGCTGCGACGCCGCCACGAGGGCGGAGCGCGCACGGGGGTGGCACGTGGGGGAGGGGGCCCTCTGGCAAAGGCGGGAGGGGGCCCGTGAGCCAGACTGGCCAGGGCGGGCTTCGAAGGCGCCTCAAGGGCGGGGAGGGCTCCCGAGAGGCCACACGACCTCTGAGACGCCCCTCGCCCCGCCTTCCTTGCACGCCGCTCCCCTCGCGCCCTCCTCCTCTTCCTCCTCCTCCTCCTCCTCCTCCTCTTCCCCTCCTCCTCCTCTTCCTCCACCTCCTCCTCCTCCTCCTCCTCCTCCTCCTCCTCCCCGCCCCCCTTCTCCTCCTCCTCCTCCTCCTTCTTCTTCTTCCTACACCGACTGAAGCCAAAGCTGCACTGACGACGCATGCAAGAGAGATGGGCCTGGAACTGCGCCGAGATCAAATCTAATCTGCCGCCCCTCCAAGAGGGGCTTTAGGCGTAATGATCAAACGGCACGAAGAACCTGGCCAACGAATCACCTAGGACAGGCGGCTCACCAACCTGCTGCAACCCACTGACAGAACGCAACAAGGCCTGCGCCAGGATACTCGACAAACGGGGCGGATACTGCAGGACATTCGCAGTACGAAAAGGCCCCTGGGACGATGTGCCCAAAACTTCGTCCCTGTGGTACGTGCAAGCACACCGTCCTCTGCCAGGCAGGTCACTGCAAAGCTCGGCGACAGAAGCAGCATTGACGGCCATTATCGTGGTCGGCATGCGGGAGGAGGCACCGCAGGTGCATTGACCAATGTCAATGAAACGGACGTGCTCGTCGAAAGACGCAAGGGCCCTGATCTCGGGGAGCCTCCAAACAGATGCCAGATGCTCCTCCTCGGGCACTCCAGGGTGTACCATTATGCATGCTGCGCCCGTGCCTATACATACGTATGCAGTTTGCACCAGGGTTTGCAACTGGTGCTTCCCACACGCAACCGCCCTCCACTCCTTGGCGGTGCAAACTGGAAGGCCCCAAGGACGGGCCGCTGAGCGTAACATGCGTGATTGGCAGCTGTCGCGGGGCGGCTGGCTGGGGCGGCCATGAGACCATGTTTTACATGGCAGGCCGCATAGACCGCCAACCGCCTGCTTCCCTCAAATCCTGCGCAACAGTCCGTCTGCTGAGCCCTCGCTCTCGGGGACCCCCTCTTGGGCATGACGACAGGCAGCTGCGTTCTCCTCTGAAGTGCGTCGAAATACCACTGTACGTCATATCTCCTGCGTGGTCCGCAGAAAAAGTGAAGAACATAGCGTGTCTCGGTAGGAGTTCGATGCACAGAAACAGACACAGACACAACCGACGGCCTTTCAACTCCTACCGTTGGCACCCGTGACACAACTGCAGACGGTGGCCCGCCTAGAGTAGGCCCAGTGATCCTAAAGAGCGGCACCTTTGCTGCTAGTTGAATCCCTGTGGCTGCTCTTACAGCCTTGGCTTCCTCGGCGTCGGCCTCCCTCAGCTCCAGAATACTGGGAACTGAAAGGGGCTGCAGGTGTGATGCGAGAGCGGCTAAACACGACTTCGATCCGAACCGAAGGTGTCTTAACAGCCTTCCCCGCGAGTGCCACTGCAAACCACATGCCTGTCATATAGACCCCAGTGCGTATGTCCCAGCGATATCGTACTGCGGATGCTGGGTGGTGCGATGACGCGACCATGCTGCTTTGGAGCGGAACACTGCATCGCAATCACGGCAATGAAAGACGGTATCTGAGCTGATTTGCCTAGAAACTGGGGGCGCTTGCAAGTCAGCTTGCTTGTGCACTTTGATGAACCCGGCCCGCCAAACGCTGGCCTCCATCTCGGCTTGTGAGACGTGCTTGGCATTGCGCCCAGCCTCCCTGCACCAAGCGATCCACTGCTTCTTGTTTTGACGGGCCGCAGACAACCACCAAGACAAACCACCAACGGGGTCCCACTGTGTGGGTTCCGTGACATGCTCATACATCCAATAATGTCCGCGTGCAACATGTGCGACCAAGAGCCTTGCCTGTGAATGGGAGAGTCAAGCATGAACAAGAGAGAGGGAGAGGCAAACCCAACAGCCGCTGCACAAACCTAAGGCGCCTCAACTACAGGATAATACAAACATTGAGTCAGTCGCCCACAAGCAACATGCACCTCCGCCTTGGACGCTTCCAAGAACTCACCCCCTTGCTTCTTGTATCCTATAGCGGCCCTCATGGACGCAGGGTAAGAACTCTCAAGTAACTCCAGGTTGCTGCTGGTAAGGCCCCCCCCAGGCAGCGCACTGGAACAATGTCTTGCTATGACACAGCGCCCCTGCATATTTGAGGCGCCCCTCCCACTCCAAGTCATTATTTTTCTTGAAGACGGCCCGCCCAAGCCCACCTAGCGCGCTCATGTGCGACCTGTGCATATTCATCAACCCAGCGCTCATAGAACCCGACGCATGAATAACCGAGCCCCAGTGCTTGCAAGGCGCGCCGACATGGACACAGGGCGAAGCCCCGCTCGCAGATAACGCGCCTTGGGTTCCCCCCCACATCCCGCTTGACCTTCCTAGAACCGACGCCAACAGGGCTCAAAAGCAAGGTGGGTGCACCAATCCCGTAGTTGACGCGGAAGCCTCGTGGGGCCATAACCTCGTGAACGTGCCTAACAACCGCACAGGCAAGGGGGGTCGCGTCATAGGCGGAACTGCACGATTGAAGGACAGCGAGATCATCGACATATGACGGACACCGAACGCCTATTTCGCACGGGTCTTCTTCAGTACGGAAATCGCGCAACTCTGCGTGTGCAATAGCTTGAACGTCGATGGCAATGCCTTCTGCAAGAAGAACGATCACGTATGTCCTGGTGCACAGGAGTGAATGCGAGAGTGAACAAAAGGTCTGTTGCTGGCATGCCAGGCCTGCTGCCCGCGGGAGCAAGCGCAATTTTCTTTGCGCCCTTTACCTGGAACCATGCGCATGAGTTCGTGTCCTGCATCTGTTGAAGCAGGTGGGGATCGCCTATTCGTTCGAACACGTATGGCTCGGCAAGCAACTTGCGCATAACGTGCTCTAGCGCAAGGGGAAGCTGCAGGTCATCAGTGGAATCCTCTAGGGGGCCCTCAACACCAGGTATGGGGGCCAAGAATTTTCGCACCACAGTGTGAAACGCCGCCTTCAAATCCGTAAAGTACAGAACCGTGGACTGACCATTGCTACGCATGGAATCGTGGAGCGCTCGCACTTGCAGAGAAGCGGCAGCCGGTCCTCTCCCAGGCCTACCTCCGCGTTGATCAGCATCCATCAAAACGCGAGCAACCTCGAGAATCCTCTTCCTCGACAACTTGTGGTGATGCTTGCGCACGTGGACCCCCGGCGAGATTTCACGGAAGTTGCGAGGAAGCCTCGGGTCGCCTTCTTGAGTATGTCGTGCGCAACGCCCCCCTTCCAGGCGAGCGGCACCCGACGAGTGAGCTGCAACCTGGTGGCCAGGGGAGACAAAGCATCCGCGCATGCAGACGGGGCAGCCTTATACACGTCATTGGTGATGAGATCGGGCCCCCCCGCTCTTCTCCGATCGGCGCGCTGTGCCGCCCCGCGCAAAATATCGCGAGACATGATGCTGGACAGATCTCTCGTGCCAGCTGAGCGACAAGTTTGTGCTGGTGATTGTATGCCTGCACAACATCGTCCACGTCGCAGATTTGTTTTTTTTCCGCCTTGGCAAAATGCTGCAGTAATCCTAATGCGAGTTGCTCCTGCGTCTCAAACGGGTTCCCCTCGTTATCCAAACGAAACGGCAATGCTTTATTACCACTCTGGTTACGAACTCCGCAACAAGCCAACATGCACCTCACATTCCTCCAGTCTTCCCTTCCATCTCCCGTGGCGGTAGCCTCCTTGACTTGTGCTGCGGTCTCTTGCAAGAATCTGGTACGGTCAGCGCGCAACTTAGCCCTAATTGCACGACGCGAGCGCCTCGAGAAAAGGACGCGAGCCTCGGCAAGACCCGTCGCATAAGTGTCGTCTTCGTTCCAAAGACGGCACATGAGAGCGAGAATCCTTACCTCCTCAGCAAAAGCAGGACACTCGGCCACAGCAGCAATGTCATCGTCGATGGGGTCGCTGGCTAGTGTAACGGTATGTGGCGAAGTGGCTGGCAGCGCTGGAATCGCTGTCACTAACCCGACGGAGGGAAGCCCTGACACGTCGTTTAATCTTGATCGCCCATAAAGTTCCCGACTTAATGTATTTTTTAAAAAAGCGGCCCCCTGGTCAACCGACAAAAGTTTTACTAGCGCAGTCATGGAACCACCGACTCAACATGACAAAGTGATCTTTGACATCAACTGACCTGTGTACGAGCGGGCAGTCACGCATCTCCTGCTCAAACGCTCCGCACCGATGGGGGTCCTGCATGAGGGCTGGGTCAAATGCAGGCAGCGACTGTTTTCCAGTCGCTTGCTCCGCCCATGCCAGGCTAGCGTGCACTGGGTAGTGGTCCTGGTGCGAACGGTCTACATCTATGTCGTGCCAAACTCCTTGCTTAACGACGTATTCCTTCCAAGCCTGTGGGGTGCACGCGTAATCGATACGATGTTTACTGCCACTGTTGCACTGATACGTGTGTTGTGAGCCCTTATCACCATGCCATGTGGACACCGCACACAGCGTCACGTCACAAAGCGCAATGTGGAATAACAGACCGTTGTCGTCCTCTATATCCGGGCACGCGCCTCCAACGGCCTCCGAGACCGATGATCCAAGATGCCCGTTCGCGTCGGCAAGCAACGCATCCACTCCGCGACGCGGCTGATGATCAGACCGGCGGAATCCCCCCAGGCTCTTCTCATATTGGGGAGGGGGGGGGGGGCGTCGGCGCGCGGGGCATGGGCCACCATTGCAGTGATGTTTCAAAAGGGAGCCTGCGCGCGCACAACAAGCCAACGATGATTAAGATCAAGAGCGGTGCAGAATTGTTTATATGTATATATATATATATATATATATATATATATATATATATTCATATGTATGTATATGTATAGATATGTGTATATGTATATGTATATGCATATTTGTATGTGTATAGGTATTTGTATTTGTATTTGTACATGTATATGTATATGTATATGTATAGGTATCTGTATATGTATATGTATATGCATATGTATATGTATATGTATATGTATATATATGTGTGTATGTATGTATGTATGTATGTATGTATGTATGTATATGTATTTATATATATATACGTAGCACCCCGCAATTGCGGATAAGAGTGAGGGGGCGGGCGCGGGCGACGCGGGCGTCGTCGAGCCGGCGGACCTCGTGCCCCCACCTACCCTGTCGATGGCGCCCTCCTCCTCCTCCTCCTCCTCCTCCTCTTCATCCTCTTCCTCGTCCTCGTCTTCGTCCTCGTCTTCATCGTCATCGTCATCCTCCTCCACCTCGTCCTCCTCCTCCTCTGTTCTTCCTCGTCCTCCCTCTCCCCCCCCGTCCTTCCATCATCGTCCTCCCATTGTCGTCCTCCCCCTCATCGGCCTCCATCATCGTCCTCCCATTGTCGTCCATCATCATCCTCCTCCCCCTCCTCCCCCTTCTCCCCCTCCTTCGTCCTCCTCCTCCCCCTCCTCCCCCTCCTCGTCCTCCTCCTCCTCTTTCTCCACATTCTCCTTACATCCTCTCTTCTTCCGCGTCCTCCTCGTCCCTCCTCCCTGCCTCCCCCTCCTTTCCGAAGATAAAGGCGACGCAATGTTTTTTTCCACTTTATGTTCTCCGACTTCTCAGATCAAGGCAACTCGCCAGGGCAAAGTTGCTGGACGGGCTGGTGTGGATGCGCGGGGCTTGAAGAGGTCGTTGCGGGCTCAGACGGCATGCAAAAATCCGCCGCCGCGCTTGTGCGGCATTGGTTTGTTCAGTGAACGTGGTTTGGGTCGCGGGTGGGTCGCGGGTTCTCCACCTCCACCTGGAAGGAATGCAAAAGCAGCCCGCCGCAGGCGCCGAAAAAATTGGTTTGTAAACTGAACGTGGTTTGGGTCGCGGGTGGGCCGCGGGTTCTCCACCGGGAACGAATGCAAAAGATGCCCGCCGCAGGCGCCGAAAAAAATTGTGTGTACCCTGAACGTGGTCGCGGGTGGGCCGCGGGCTCTCCACCTGAAACGAATTCAAAAGATGCCCACCGCAGGCGCCGAAAAATGTGGTGGGTACCCTGAACGTGGTTTGGGTCGCGGGTTGGTCGCGAGTTGGTCGCGGGGTGGGTCGCGGGCTCTCCACCTGGAAGGAATGCAAAAAAGCCCGCCGCAGGCGCCGAAAATGGTGGTTTGTACCTTGAACGTGGTTTGGGTCGAAGGTGGGTCGCGGGTGGGTCGCGGGGTGGGTCGCGGGTGGGTCGCGGGTGGGTCGCGGGTGGGTCGCGGGTGGGCGGGTGGGTCGCGGGGTGGGCGGGTCGCGGGGTGGGTCGCGGGTGGGTCGGGGTGGGTCGGGGTGGTGTGGTCGCGGGTGGGTCGCGGGGTCGCGGGTGGTCGCGGGTGGTCGCGGGTGGGTCGCGGGGTGGGTCGCGGGGTGGGTCGCAGGGCGGGCTGCGGGTGGGACTACGACAACAACAACAACAACAACAACAACAACAACAACAACAAACAACAACAACAACAACAACAACAACAACAACAACAACAACAACAACAACAACAACAACAACAACAACAACAACAACAACAACAACAACAACAACAACAAACAACAAACAACAAACAACAACAACAACAACAACAACAACAACAGACAGCAACAACAAACACCAAACAACAACAACAACAACCAACAACAACAAAAACACGAATCCGCACCGCGGAATCCCGTTACAGCCACGCACCCATATATATATATATATATATATATATATATATACGCAACACCCCGCAATTGTGGATAAGAGTGAGGGGGCGGGCGCGGGCGACGCGGGCGTCGTCGAGCCGGCGGACTTCGTGGCCCCCACCTACCTTGTCGATGGCGCCCTCCTCCTCCTCCTCCTCCTCCTCCTCCTCCTCTTCCTCCTCATCCTCATCCTCTTCCTCGTCCTCGTTTTCGTCCCCATCGTCATCGTCCTCCTCCTCCTCCACCTCGTCCTCCTCCTCCTCTTCTTCCTCGTCCCCCCTCTCCCCCCCTCGTCCTTCCATCATCGTCCTCCTATTGTCGTCCTCCCCTTCATCGGCCTCCATCATCGTCCTCCCGTTGTCGTCCATCCTCCTCCTCCTCCCCTCCTCCCCCTCCTCCCCCTTCTCCCCCTCCTCGTCTCCTCCTCCCCCTCCTCCCCCTCCTCCCCCTCGTCGTCGTCGTCGTCGTCGTCGTCCTCCTCCTGCTCTTCCTCCTCTTTCTCCACATTCTCCTTACATCCTCTCTTCTTCTGCGTCCTCCTCGTCCCCTTTTTACTCCTCCTGCCTCCCCTCCTTTCCCAAGATAATGGCGACGCAATGTTTTTTTCCACTTTATGCTCTCCGACTTCTCAGATCAATGCAACTCGCCAGGGCAAAATTGTTGGACGGGCTGGTGTGGATGCGCGGGGCTTGAAGAGGTCGTTGCGGGCTCAGACGGCATGCAAAAATCCGCCGCCGCGCTTGTGCGGCATTGGTTTGTTCAGTGAGCGTGGTTTGGGTCGCGGGTGGGTCGCGGGTTCTCCACCTCCACCTGGAAGGAATGCAAAAGCAGCCCGCCGCAGGCGCCGAACAAATTGGTTTGTA